CACTTGTTTTGGTAGGCGAAATTCAGTTCTTTCTTTGGACCAAACATCACTGCAGAAGTCGGTAAGTAGCTATCGCATTCATGTTTGTTAAATTTCTTGTCCTCGGTTCTTAAATTGATTTTTGAGTTGTTGGTTTGCTTTGAAGGTAAAGGAGAAAGTGAGAATCTCTATGAAGTAAGACTGATTTCCACCGTCTCCACAAATTCTGTATCTTCTACCTCTTGAATACGGACAATCACATATATGGCTGACATATTGATCAACGCTATTTGTCATTTTTGTTATTGTATATCAATTCTACATAATCATCGCTAGGTATAAAAGTAAAACTGTTCAGAATAGGGTGTTAAAGTAGGCAGTAGGCACTACCATGGGGTCGATCGGTTCTCCTCTCACTTGGAACCTCAGGGTTGATGTGCATCCAAATCACAGCTTCTTCTTTCGCTTTGTTAAGAATTGAGAGAGGCAAAACATACATTTTCAAACAAAAAGCATTTCTAGCTTTCCATATCTGCCACAAAATCCACAGAAAAGCGAGACACACTGACGTAGCTAAGCTCTGTTTTTTACTTTTCGAGAAAAGATGATACGAATTAAAAAAAAAAAAACAGAGTTTCGGAGAAGCCAACTGAGGGAGAAAAATCTAGATAGTTACCATGTTTCTTGGACAAAAGGTAATTGAAAAGCACATGGCAAATTGATTCCAATTCCAAACAACATGAGGAGGAGCAAGTAAGATCTATCAGTATTCCCCTTGTCACAAGACGTGGGTTAAGGCACCAACCAACATTTTCTAGAGAAAGTGGCGTAGCTTAGGCATAGTTTAGGTTTGATGAGCTTAATGATGTATCGAGAAGCAGAGGAGATGATTTGAGCTTAATGATGTAACTAGCATCTCCCAATACAAACAACTACCTTATTTGATTTTCATTCCACTTTCATGTTAGGCGATTGATCAGATCGATTCTCGGATAGTAAGTTCCATGATTCCAGGCATACCAGCCGGAGATCGTGGAAATTCATCGAGGATCCAATTTTTCGACCAAACCATAGTGTCTTCGTCAAGCGTATGAAGGCTTATACCCTACCACACACTAAGAAAAAGAACAATTTTCTGAAATATTTGAGACAACAAGATTTTGATCCACGCCAAGCGTAAGATTAAATAATTAAATATGTTTTTAATCGGTTTTAATATTTAAATGTGTATGACAAAGCATATGATTTCTAAACTTACTAAAAAAGTATGCAATGTGGATAAATGTAATAAAATTAAATTTTTATCAACCATATTTTGATGTCTTTAGTTTTAATATTTCTATCTGTAAAATTGATCAAAACATATGAAAATGTTATATATTTCAATAAATTCTAAGTGTAAAATTAATTTTTATTATTCGTGTAAATTATAAAGTATGTTACAAATCAAAAAAATTTTAGAGTTATATGAATTTGTCGGATATAACAAACGAAAAAATATATGTTTTCCAATAATGAAATGTGTAAATATTTGTAAGTATAGTTTTCTATATATAATAGACTATCATAATTAAAATATTTTTATATCTTCTATATATTAATTGAGGAGACACTAAGGTGAAAATCGTATGTATCACTCAATGAGGGTTTTAAGGAACATGTAATTTAAATTAACCAATGAAAATATTTTCAATTAAAACTATATGCCATGGTGGAAATCTCTACATATTCTTATTAATTTTATAACATAAGTCCATTAATACATGTTTTACAAATTTAAGTCCAACTAAATGTAATATTTAGACTTACCATCTATTTTTAAAATTTTTTATATTAAAAAACTTTTTTTTTGTAACAATATTATTTATTGTGGATATATGTATTTAGATTAATGACATATAAAAATAATATTGTTACAAAATTTTTTTTTTTTTACATCTCCAAGAATGATATCGCCGAGCTTAATGATATCGCCAAGCTTAATGATATCGTCAAGCTCGGCGATATCATTCCCGCCAACATATGATATCGTCGGGCTTGTCTCGCCGGAAATGGCCAAAGAGTTTTACGAAGGTCTTGATTCTCATCTTCAAAACATCGGTATTGACAGCGTTAAAATAAACATTAACACCAAAACAAAAATCGGATTATTTCTAGGCGTTAACGTCGTCAGTGAATAAGGGTTTTGACGGTAACCCTAATGAGGCCCATTGTATTTTTTGCAGAAACCCTAATGTGTATTCCTATATATATCTTGTACTTATGAGATGATGAATAAGAAATCACAATTATAACTATAATAAAAAATAATATAATTTGATAAAAAAAAAAAAAGTCAAAGTGTTGGAATTGTAGAAACTGGAAATTGCCTTAGAATAATATAAACTTGAAACACATATTTATAGAGTAAGAGTAGAAGCAATTTTCGCGGAATAGAGTAGTGTTGGTATGGAGGAGGAAGACACTAAAACAAGTTAAAGATCTCACTAAGTGGCAGACATTGAGATTATTAAAGAGGCAATGCTAAGAGAGAAAGTAAAAAGATTTCGAAAAATCAAAGAAATTAAAGGAAGAAAAAAGAGAAGGAGAAAGAGGGGAATATATTTAACAAACTCCGTTATATGTGTCCATATTTACAATGGATTATCGACGATTGTTTCATCGACGAACTTCTGACGGATTGAAACCATCGAAATGATTCCGACCACTTTTCGATGGATTTCTGATAGGATATTTATGACGAGTTTTCGACAGAAGCGTTTCAACAGATTTTTGACGAGTCATTTCCAACGGATTTCCAACAGATTTCATTAAACTCTTTTTTTAAACAATAAATAATTAATTAAAATACATTAATTGAAAATGTTTTTATTGGTTAATTTAAATTACATGTTCCTTAAAACCTTCATTGAGTGATACATAAGATTTTGTGCCTTAGTGTCTCCTAAATTAATATATAGAGGATAATGATTGATGGTATGCAAAATCTCCATATATGCTTACCGAGAAACGACTGATTGAACCGACTTATGTCATGAAGCCCTAAATCACCATTTGAACATATTTTTCCCAAACAACCCAAATTATATTAAATTTGAGAGAAAATAATTTTAATTAGAGAGAAATAGCATTATTACAAGATCCAAAACATGAACATATCCCTTATTGACACCCCCTAACACTTGAATATCACACTCCTTTATTGCTGCTGATAACTGACACCTAATGATTCATGGGCTTAAAAGTATGCTGGAGTGAAAACAGAAAGTCTAAATGGGCCTTGAGTTTAAACCAATGGGCCTTGAGAATAAATACCAAAATCATTCCTTGTTCCTGCTCTGATTTTTCTCATTCGACCTGCTTTGCTTTGCTTGCTTGCCCAGAAAGTCGCCGAGAAAGTTAAAAAGAAGAGAAAACGTACAAACGGCGGAGGAAAAAGATGGAGTCGCCGAAGAAGATAGCTCATGAGATCGGAGGTTTGAAGAACGATGCTCTTCGCTTTGGTCTTCACGGCGTTAAGAGCGATATCGTTGGATCTCACCCTCTCGAATCAGCCTACGAATCTGTAAACAAATTCCTTTCTCTCTTTTTTCATAACGACCTTCCGATTCTTCAATACTCACTTTCGTTGATTGGGTTTCTTAATTTTACGAGACTGGGATTTGGATTTTTTTTGGTTTGATTCAGGGAAAAAAATCACAAGAGGAAATGAAGAGGAAAGTTATTGCACATACTTATGGAGCTGCTCTTCCTTTGAAGATGGATCTTGATAGGCAAATCCTCTCTCGGTGATGGATGTTTAATCTCTTGAGTTATTAGATTCTATAGAGTGTACCTCAGAACCATAAACGCATAGTGGAAACTCTCTAGATTATTATCTAAACTAAGTTGCTTACTTGAACCGTACTGGTTATTATTGGATATGAGAATGTAATCTTCCTTTTGGTCAATGCTGATAGATTGAAATATGGTTTCTAGTGATTGCAGTCTATATGGTTTGATCAGTTTCTGTTCTAAATTTTAAAATATTGTGTGCTTGAATCATTGTAATGACTCTATTGGAACTCAGAACCATAATCGCATTGCGGAGAATCGTTAGACTTGTAGACTATATAGAGTCTGAAGCATCTTCCTTTGGCGAATTTAACAATTATATATCTTTTTCTCTGGTTTATTCAGGTTTCAGAGACCTCCTGGACCAATTCCCTCGTCACTGCTTGGCCTTGAAGTGTACACAGGAGCGGTAGATGAATTTGGTTTCGAAGACTACTTGAACGGTAACTGTTTTCCAACTCTATTCCCTTTTGGTTGGGGCTCAGAACTTCATTTACTAGTCTCGTTCGTTAGATCATTCACATCAAAAACCAATGGAGTTGTATACTTATAAAATTGTTGAGCATTGCTCAAAATGTAGAATGTAGTCTCTCCCATGTCACATAATGCCTGTTTCAGTAATTCACATTGTTTCAGAAAATTTCGTTTAGTATTATATATACAATGTTCCTGCTGACCTCAAGGGCCAGAGGCTTTTCTTTTCTAACATAGGAAGAAAAGTGTTCAACTTGTTTATTTTTTCTTCACCTTATATCGGTTGTTCTGATAATCTGCAGATCCTCGTGAATCCGAGACGCTCAAACCAGTAGACTTTCACCACGGCATGGAAGTTCGGCTTGGTCTCTCCAAAGGCCCAGCTTGTCCAAGTTTTATGTAGGTATAAACTAATTTTTAAGGACCATCAATGTATTTTAACTTCACATCTCATATGGAGTTGGCTTTGCTTTGAATTCTCAATCTGAGTATGATCATGTCATGGATTTCCATCTGTCCTAAAAGTCTGGGCTTGTTGTTGATACTTTTCTCTATATTTGTCTCCATGCTCTTTATCCGTATGCCAGAACATGATTAAGCTCGTGACATGTGTTTCAGTCCTCTGTGCTGTCGCTGATCTACAACTAGTAGTATCTAATAATGTAGTATATGGTCACTGGAAACTCAGATTTGTATTATACCGCTTAGTAATCGACTGCTTCGTAAATCCTCTGAGTTCTTGAAAAAAACATTGAAAAGTATGTTACACTGTCGAAAGAGAATCATCATCAACCAATAACGATATGTGTGATTCCAAAAACGGGGTTATGATAGTTAAGTACTAAACACAATATACTCTAACTAAGACTACTGGTGAACATGATGAGATTATTATTTGAACAAAACGCAATCATATGAGACGAAACTTAGCAATACACTTGATATTTGCATCAACGGTAAGGTTCACCATTCGTTCCGCATCATCGAATCTCCCCGTATTGGCATAGGCATCGAGCAATAATCTATAAGTGGGGATGTCTGGAACAATGAATTGCTTGGACCGCATTTCTTCAAAGAAAGACTCTGCTTCAGACAACATCCCTTGTTCACAAAATCGATTAATTATGTTCCTATAACAAAGCTGTGAACCATTGATGGTGGTTCCAAATCCCCGAAAATAATCGACCGCTTCGTTAATCATCGAGTTCTTGAAACAATCGTCGACAAGTATGTAACACGTCTCTGCATTTTTCTCCACCATTTGATCAAACAATTCCTTAGCTTCCAATTTCTTGCCGTAGTCAAGCAGTATTCGCAAAAGGGTATTACCAGTAACGGCATTCATTACGAAATTCTTGTCTAACAAAGATTTGTAACACTTGATAGCTTCTTTATCGTTACCTTGTTTGAACCAATACTCTATAAACGTAGCATTCATCATCGCTATTCCATTGTAATCCTCATCGATGAGGAAATGAATCAAGTCGGAAACTTCGTCATCTATAGGCGAAGCCCCCAACCTCTGTTGCGCGTCTTTGAAAACTTCCATGGCCGTTTCGAATTTTCCCTGAGCCAAAAAGCCACGAATCAGATGATTGAACACCAACGGACTCAGTTGGTCGCTGGACATGACCCCAATGGCAAAATCCTCTGCTTCTTTAATCTTTCCGGCATCAACCAATCCCTTGGCCAAGAGATTATACGTTTCTTCGTTCGGAGGAGTAGAAGCAGAGTTAACCACCAATAAGTGGTTGTAAAAACGAATAGCTTCGTCGACTTGACCTTGGTGACAGAGAGCTCCAATGATGTGGTTGCAACAGGAGATGTTAGGTTTAAGGTTTGATTCGTTGAAAAAGTAATGGAAGTAATTCAATGCGTCCTTGTACCGTCCGGCACGACACATGGCTCCAATGAGTGCGTCGCAGGTCCTAGTGGAAGATGGTGATGATCGGGCAGAGACAGTGAAACGAGCATGATTAGCCGCCGCATCGAGATTAGATAGCTTGATCAGCATCATGACTCCAGCGTGTATGTGAGAGGCAAACCAACCTGTGCTCGTCATGTGCTCCTCATACGGTGGTACGGGACTCAGGGAGGGATCCCTTGGGATTGGATAAGGAACGGTCACGGCGGAGGGATTTGGAAGAGTTGAAACATTGTAAGAGATGAATTGGTGGATCTTGTAAATTGGAGTGGTAACAGACTTGGAGGATCGTGGCCGGAGAAGAAACATGGCGGCGGCGGAGGTAACCAAGTAGGTAGGGATTGTGCTCTGTGTTGTTTAATTGATATATTTAGTTTCGAGAGAATATTTTATAATACCGTTCCAAGGGGTGGGCATTCGGTTTAATGGTTCGGTTATTCAATTTTTTTGTTTGACTAAGAAAGAGTCATAAGAAGACCGAATGGTTTGGCTTTAATTCGGTTTGATACGATTCGGTATCATAAGATCATAAGAGACCCGAATTACTTAACTAATGGTTCGGTTTCGGTTCAGTTAATACCCGAATACCGAATCCAAAATCTATACGTACTAAGTGCAAAACCAAAAACTGAAAGACAAAAATATCATAGTTCAAAGATCTTAAAGTTTAAAGTGCATCATAATGAAACAGAAAATGTTTGGAAAAACAAATGTCGAAGGGAGTCGGGTTGTGTGTTTAGGGAAATCGTCCTATATGTTTAAATAACTCATGTCTAATGTTCGTTCTAAATCGGTTATGATTTGGTTTATGAGTTAAAACCAAAACCAAATCCGATATCTATGACATAAATTTTTAGAATCAATACGGTTTTTAAAAAGAACCTATACCAAACAGATAATCTTTTACTAGGTTCGGTTTTTAGGTTAATAGTTATTTATGCCCATCCAATCTTTTTTTTTTTTTTTAATATATGTGCTAATCCCTTAATAAAAAATAGAGAATCCGCAATAAAAATAATTTTCCCTTAATAAATATCCAACGAGATCTAGAAGAAGTCAACTAGAGTTGTGTCGTGCTCTCTCAGGCACCATGTTTCTCAGCCGTTTCCTTTCCGCTCCGATTAACCATCGCCGTTTTTTTAATACGTCATCACTCTCCTACCTCAAACGCGTTTCTGCAATCTCCAAATCGGAATTGGATCCTTGTTCTATTAACGAAAGGGTCCGAATGCTTATCAAATTGTGCAACCTAGACGCGGCCGCAGAGCACGCGCGTTTGGTGGTTTTGTCCAGAGACAAACCTAAAGTGACTGCTGAAACATGCGCCGCTGTTCTCCAGGCTTTGTGTGATGACAGACGCTACAGTGACGCATACGATCTCTTCCACTACTTCACTGCCAACTCTAACTCGGATCTTGTATCCAAGTCCTGCCGTATTCCAATCGTCACTGGCTTTTGTGATCAAGGTAAACTCGACGAGGCTCTTGAGTTATACCAGCACTTGCGCAAAGGTCCTAGCTCTCGTGCCCATTTAGCTTTAGCTCAAGGGTTGGTCGATGCGGGTAGGATTGATGAAGCTATGCGTCTTTTCTACTGCGTGGCTAGGCCTGTGTATGATATTTTCATCCGTGGGTTATTGGATGTGGGAAATGTCGAAAGGGCTAACGAGCTTTACGATGATCTCAAGTTGTGTGAGGATTTGGACTGTGTGGTTGAGGTGAGTGCAACGTTCATGGAGCATTGGTTCAAACAAGGGATGGATGAGAAAGCTATGGAGTGTTACTTGTCCTTCAAGGAAGAACATAGACAGATGCGTGCGAGTACTGGAAATAGGCTTTTGAAAGTTTTGCTAAAGTACGGTAAGAAAACCGAAGCCTGGTCATTGTTCAACCAGATGAAAGCTACAAGATTTGATTCCGAGTCTTGTAATATTATGGTGAATGAGTGTTTCAAGATAGGGAAAGTTGGCGAGGCAATTCAAATATTTGACAAGCTTGTAGGCACAAGCGAGGATCCACAGTTGTGTTATAGGAACATGATCACTAGGCTATGCGAACAAGGGATGTTGTCGGAGGCTGAGCGGTTTTTCGCTCAAATGTGCTCTCAAAATCATCTTGTACCTGATGTTCCAACCTATCGAACAATGACGGATGCATATGTGAAGGCGGACAGAGTCAGCGATGCTCGGAAAAATCTGAACCAAACTTTGGATGCATGTCTAACCTTTACTTCTAAGATGGTTGGGCTTTATCGGTTATCCCATTGTTAAAAATATTAATAAAGCTAAGGAAAGGATTTTGAATTGTGGATCATACCACAAAGCGTTGGCAATACACAGTTATTAATATCATGATTGATTGAGACCTCACTGTCACTGACGAAGATTTTGTGTTTATTGTGTGTTGTTTAAAGAATGACTGTTTTAAGTCTTACAATCTCAGCCTAATTTGTTTATAGGTCCTACTAAACTAAAACTCGTGGGGGTTTGTCGTCATTCTACTCTTTTGTGTTTGTCATTGTTCTGCTCGTATGTTGTTTCTCATTGCTAAAGAAGAGAGTTTATGTGTGTGTTAGTCATTGTTGAAGAACAGATCTTCAAATAGATTCAACTCCCATCCCCATCTTCCAATCTAGAAGCATGATTAGGCCTTATTATATGATATAAGTTATGGTAGATTTCTGTAAACCTCTTCTTGGTACTGAGAATGTTCCAAATGCTTATGGATCTGCTTTTCTGCAATTAATCTTACCATCATTTGTTTGTTGATTACAAAATAATTAAATTATACCTGCTGGATTACAAAATAATATTGCCAGTCTTATGAGTGATACCGAGGACCGGCACTTGTTTGTTACACATGGAGAAAATGAAAACAAGCTCATCTTATCATCCGTTCTTCAAGGCTTTGTTTCTGTACTTACATGAGCCCCTCACATTGTGATAAGTTTACACAATTAATTAATGTATCTAGTAGTCTCATCCCTCTCTTTTTACCAAGAAGCGTTGTAAAACTTCCAAAATGGATTTGTGAAGCCTGTTATGTTTGGCTCAGATAGTAACACTTAGACATTCGCTGAACAAACTATGGTTCATGCAAGTATAAATGGAAATAAGAAATTTATTAGAGTACATAGATTCTTCAAGAAAACAGAACGTAGATATTCATCAAGGAAACATGAACTCTCACTGTGCTTATTATTGTAAAATGGATACTCTACTGAAGCTCAAACCTGAAAACGTAAACAAACAATAATTAAAGTTTTGTCACCCCGTAAACATAAGCAGCAATTGAATTAACTAATAATTAACCCCAAAGATAAAATAAGTGACAAAAGGAAACTTACGGAAGAGTGGCCAGGTTCTTTATCGTAAAAGATGAAATTCTTGTTGGAAATAAAAACTTTAC